TCTGATTCCCGCAGTACCCCTGCTTCCGTCGCTAATTTACCGATCCTCTGCCTCGCTGAAACTTCGAAATTCTCCGTGTTTTCGTCCTCTTCGAAGTCTGATGAGATGGCGAAATCGAGCACGCAACGTGGAGATGATTCCCCAGTCGTGTTCGGCGCTGAAGCTGATGCGAGAAATGGATGCTGCAGCAGCTGATCGCAGCTCCAACGTTGATTCGGATCCCTTCTCAAACACTTGTCCACGAAATCCTTACCAAGTTCAGATAACTGAGTCGGTAACTCGGGTAATTCCTCCGAGTATCCGATTTGCCTCAGGGAGTTGAAACCGCGATCCTCCCAAGCAGGCTTCCCGGTGACCATCTCGATGACGGTGCAGCCTAAGGACCATACATCACTCTCCGGTCCTTGATACTCACCGCGGATCACCTCCGGAGCCATCCAGAGCGGGCTTCCACGTGGCGTGATCGGGGACCTACACCCGTCGCCCACGCTGGCCTTTTTCATCTCAATCGCCGAGCCGAAGTCCGCGAGCTTTACGGAGGTGAGATCAGGGCCCACCAAAACATTCTTCCCTTTCACATCACAGTGCACAATGCCTTCATCGTGCACGTACTTCAAACCCGAAACTAAGCACCGCGTGTGCCACCGCAAAATCCTCTCGTCCACGTCAGCCAACCGTCGTTTAAAATTAGCTACGTCAACGACAGTGCCACCCGGCAAGAACTCTATGTGAAGATTCCGGTAGGACGTCGTCACGTCATCGCCGAGATACCCGACGACGTAAGGAGAGGAAAGCGAGCTGAGGATCCTAACTTCGTTCTCCAAAGACTCCAATTGGCTCGGAAGACACGTAGCTAAATCGACGGACTTCACTGCAAAAACGGCACCGTCCGATTCTTTGACTGCCAAGCTCACGGTACCAAACGACCCTTTGCCTAAACATTTCCCTCTAGTCCAAGAAATTTTCCGGGTGTCGCTCTGTTTCTCCATCTCTGAAACTCAAAACACTTCTCTCTGTTTTCGCTCGCTCTGCTTCTTTTTGGCGTGTGTTTTTTCTGAGGGCCCAAACGGGTATTTAAATACGTGTAAGCTAAATATTTTTATTAATTATATTTAGTTTTACGTGGAATTTATAAATGGATAATTCGGAAAACGGTATGATGACGTCACGAGTTTTTCTTTCTTTTTTATAAGTTTGGAACTGAACTTCGGGAAAGAGTGGAGGATGATTCTGGGTTTTATCCTTATCTGACGGCCACGCGGAGTTAATCCAAGCCGTTATTGATATGGTGTGGGATGATGGGTTTTTTACTTGCAAGATTTGTTCTCGCTATTGATTGGTTGATGGGCGTTTGGTGTCTTTTGCTGTAACACGAGGTTGCCATGCTAATAGCTTACACGATTCATGAAAAGCAAAAACATTTTGGTGAGCGCAATGGAGTATTTGCCCCAAATAAACACCTCTTCTATAACGTGTCCTAAGTATTCTTTACTTTTATTAAAAAAATAGTTGAAAAATTAACCTAACTCAAAATGAAATTAAAAAAAAAATTCATCTTATCTACTAATTTCTTTACTTTTATTAAATCAAGTTTTATAACAGATACTCATGTTCTTTATAACTTAAAATGTCTAACGAACATTAATATTGATTATTCATATATTAAATATTAATTTTTAATCAAATTTGAAAAAAATATAAATAAATAGATTTTAATAAAGTTCATATTTGGATATATAACAGTATTATCGCATTACTCATTTTCAGATCAAATTTTTATTAAAAAAAAAACCTTCATCTCAGCTTTTATTCTTCCACGTATTTTGTAATCGGAATCGTATTAGTAGCCATCTCCACCTAAATAAGTACACGTGGTTGTGAAGTAGGGGAAAAAAATGGGAGATTTTTTTGAGGTGGCAAAGTTGGTGGCCAAAAGGCAGGTCCGGTGGCCGGTGGGGACAGAGTTTTCTGTTGGAGACCGTTGTTGGAAACCAAATAAAATTGTAGGGCCTAAACGGTTCAGCTTAGGTGGCAGACAGCGGTAGGTACACGTCGCAGCAATAAAGAAACTTGAGGCCATTCGTTAAGAGAGAAAACAAAAGGGGTGAGAAGAGATGGATCGATCCCCCAGCTGTCTCCATCTCTTCCCCCACGATGCTTCTGTCTGGCTTTTGCCAAGTGAGAGAGAGAGAGAGTTTTGAGTTAGAAGTCTGTTGACGTGCACGACCAGCCTCCATTACAATAAATAAATCTTTTCTCTCTCTCTTTTTTTGTTTGGTTGAATGTGATTTACCAGTAAAATTTGTTTGTCTCTCAAAGCCAATATCCATTCGAATCTTTTGAAAGATCAGGGAAAGTTTTGGACAGCCTTCCATGTACTCAAGGGTACCAAATTTTGACAGTCACAAACTTCCTTGGAACCCCAAAATGGAAGTAGATGAGGATTTTTGGGCCTTAGCTATTGGTTTAATTATGGGTCAAGTGGGATATAGGATAAGATTCTATGACCAAAGAAAGATACCCTTTGGTTCCTTTTCTCATAAATTTTAAATATTTTGACCAATATTGTTCAGATTCAGACCATTTTAAACAGATAATTCCAGTTCAAAATTTACAGAGTTGAGTGAAATTAAGTGGTGATGGTCATTGGAGGTGATGGTAGTGGTGGCGGTGGTGGTGTTTTTTCGATTCGTTTGAATGTATTTGTCGAAATCAAGTGGGGCTGCAGTATGTGCCCATTGTCTCCCGGTGTTTGTTAATTAACAGTTTCATCTTGTCATCACATGCAAGGGTGATCCGGTTAAGGAAGGTGCTGAATTGGATAAGCTAGAACAATTTTTCCCTTAACTGAAAGGGAAAGGGGGGAAAGGGGAAAAAGAGAGAAATTGTTGTCCATGTAAACTTCCAATTGGCAAAAACTAAAGAATGGAAGAAAGGGGCCGGGGAGCCCCCAATTATCCATCTTTGCTCTAAAAGCAAATAATTAAAATATTTTTAAATAAATTATCGGGTTACGTGTTTTAATGTGTCTACAGTTAAATTCACTTAACTAATCATGTTATAGCAATAATTTATATAATATGTTATGTTTAAGTTATTAATTAGTGAAGGATAGTGTATTTTCGAATAAATATCGATATTGTACCTAAACATGTTATACAATGATTACATATAGTATTACCCAACTGTACGGATTGCCAAGCTTACTGAAAGTTTGGTCTAACTGAAAACCTTTTATTCGAAAAGCCACTTGGCTCACAAATAATAGAGCCTTTGTGGTTCAGTATTATTGTCAGCAGGGGTTAGGGGGAATTTTGCGGGGTGCGCTGATGCGGTCGGTGTCGTGTATGCAATGGAGAGCTCCTTTCTCCACGACTCTTGTTCATTGAATCCATATCTATCTTTGGGAGTTTCGGATTTTCATTTCTCCAAGGATAAAATGTTTAATCTCACCCATTCTTTCTTCCCTAAGCTGTGACGTTATCCATATTGTTATGCGCAAGTGGTACTTATCCCAAGTCCAAAAACCCCCAAATTTGAGTTGTTTACCAAATCCAAGTCTTTGGCTTACTAATATATTTAACTTTACCCAATTGTAATAAAGTGAAATAGAAAACTGCACTAGACGGCTGCTTGCAGTATATAGTATTTATATTTTATAATGAATTCAAAATTTTACATAAAGTGTGATTAAAAGATATAATCATATAAAGTCATAAATCAATTCAATAATTTAATTTAAAATAAAAATTAATCACTAATAAATAACGATTATCATCCATCATTATTTTCGATCCGTCTTTATTATTGGTGAATCAAACTCATAATTTTTTAAAATATTATTTTAAAAAATTTCAAAAATAGTTACCATTACACATTTATAATGTGACAGTTTATAATTAAGTGATAATATATACGTATTATATATTAATGATACTTTTGAATAAATTTGAAACATTTGGATAAATTTTGCATCTTATTCCATTTTTTTTTGTTTTGGTTACTAAACAAAATGATGAGAATCAATTCCGTCAAGGAACACTGTTAGCTAGCAATGAGCCACCTAACTTCAAATTCAATTGACAAGAAACCTGAAAGATAGCCCTGCTTAATGGCCGACTAAGTTTGTTGAGAAGGCAGAAAAACAGTAAGGTTTGTTCCGAGGCTGCCGAGGTTTGTCGTAAGACAGCAAGACAAAGGAGCTAAACATGAACCGACTGGTCGACAGTCTAACGTGCGTGAGAAAAAAAAAACAAACCCCATTCCAATTTCGTGCGGGTGACATGCAAACCTCATTCCACCACCCCCCAATTTGATGCCTCTTTTTCTTGAGATTCATGCACAGCCAATAAAACAAGTTAGATCGCCAGTTACTACTTCCTTCAATGTCTTGCTTTCAGCCTCACTAACTTTCTGTAAGTTCTGTCATGCAATGGTTGGAATCATGTTATCTTTTTCTTTTCTAAATTAAAAACAAGAAAAAGTTAGGAGTTAGGTCTGGGAGGTTTGGTTAATTTATGATGCTCACTGATGTTCATGTGAGCCTACTTCTAGATTGTGATTGTTTCCAATTTGAACTTTAAGATTAGTTACCGGAGAATGAGTCAAAATTCAACCCTTAACACTTTTTTTCAAAGAGTTAAAGTTTAAATTCTTGTTTTGTTGACTCGGTCAATGAAAAGATTAAAATTTCTTGTCTCTAAAAGTAACGATTAATTTATGCTACTCACTGATGTTCACGTGTGCTTTTAGTTTGTGATTGTCATAAAATTTAACAATAAGAATCATTTAAAGAATTAAGTACGAATCTTTGAGATTATATCAAAAATTAAATTATAGGATAATTTATGTTGTTTATTGATGTTTATGTGAACGTTATTTTATCTCATGATTGTATCAAAATCTAATAATTATTGAAGAATGAATTGAAATTCAATAATTGAATTTTTTTTTATTTAAAAAATTAAATTTAAATTTTCATTTTATTATATATTCCTTTCATTTTCAAAATCTTTAGTAGTTTGTTTGCTCCATCATGAACATGGATTAAAATTCCTCCTTATCTGCCCAAAAGAAAAGAGGAGCTTCATGCTTAAAGACAAGGAGAGAAATGCAGCGGAACATGTCATGTACATTGCACGTGTTTTGGTTATAAGACAGACAGGCACTTTGAACACTTAAAACACACAACATGAATCCACGATGCAAGCCAACAAACCTCCCCCTCCCCCTGCCCCTCCCAGGTAGCTCTTTCGAAGAAAGACTGCGGTATTTCTAGGAACATGGGTATGGTGGTGGCATAATAAAAACAAAAGCTATTCGGCAGAACGTTTTGGTCTTTCTTCATGTGCCACTTTGTGTGGGTCAAATTGTTGTGGAAAAGGGGTCCTAATTAGACAGCCGATCACTACCATGAAAGGTTTGATTCTTTCTCCAATGCCAACTGAGTTAAGTGGTGCAATTCTTTCCGGCATCAGGATTTTTTTATTCTTTTTCTTACCGAAGATTTGGTCAATGTGTACGGGCTTCTTCATGATTGCGGTTCTAAAACATGAACCCACCGCATCAAAAACATTACTAGAAGGTGAAGAAGATGATGGTTGACACCGTCCATGTGGTCAACCATCATTATCTCGAGAGCCTTAACCCCACAAATCAAATGATTTTCCATTTCCAAAGTTGTATTTTGGGTCAACGATGGTGTCAAGTTCAAGTTCATGGTTGAGTATCTTTGGGTTGATTCAATATAGTTAGTGATTAATCTTTTTGAAAGCATACCATGTTCTAGAATTTTGAAGGTACATTTGGTTTGAATCTTTTGATGATTGTCTGAGTCAATATGCATATATCACAAGATTATAATTGTTTTTCTAAAAAATTAATCTATTGAGATGTGTAATGCTCTCGCACTCAAATTCGCAATGCTTTCGTTGTAGGTCTAATCATCATGTCTATTTTATATCAAAATTGAATCCGAATTGATTCAGAAATTATTTTATCAGGAAATCATTAGCTACTATCCATGCTTATAAAACAAGAATCCATATTTTTCCTAATCGATGTGAGACTTATGGTCCAGAAATATCAGAGCAAGAACAGAATGTTCTTGCAACCTAACATAAGAACAAAGCATCGACAGCTCCAGAGAATCTGTGCAATCTCAGTATGCGTATTCCCCAGGCTTGAAATGATATGATGGTCTCTGCTCCATATCAGAAAGAGCTGAGATGGTTAGAACCTATCCATGAATTGAACATTCAGAAATTCCTGTAACTCTCTGAACTGCTCGAATTCCTCATCGTCATAGGTGAGATAGAAAGGGCAAACAGAGGAGATTGCAAGAATCACAGGTCCACAATCTTCAGTTTGCCAGAACAAGGCATTGCCGTTTTCACAAGTTCTTATTCATTCTTGGGCATAAATCGTGAACAGTTCATAGAAATGATCAATCTGTATGGTGAGCTACAAGGCAGTTCAAAACAATATATACAAAAATGAATAGGCAAAGTTGAAAAGAATGTTATTGGAAAATTGTTTCTATAAAGAATATCCAGATGTACAACTGTAAAGGTTAATGAATGTCAAATATATAAACAAGTTTACAAACTGAGTCTCTCTGTGATCTTCTTCTTCAGCCGTGCGTAATTCCTACGAAGAATGGTCAAATAAAGACTAAATCCTGCTCTACTGCTCTCGCATCTGAGTCTCGAAACACCTCCAACAACTACCTCTAAATGAATGATTCTTGTCCTCTCGGATTGGGAAACTACTGGGTAGAGTCAATCCTACAAGTTAATTGGTTGCCTACTTTTTAGAAATGAGACAATCATATATAGCGCCCCAGCTGAATCAGAATCACGCTAATATCATCAGATGAGCCTCGTGAAACTGAAAGGTCAACAAGCTTTTTACAGGCGAACAATGGATTTTGCTTATTGATGCCTACGCATGAAGGACGAGCTATGTCAACTGCTTCCTGATTACTAACCTGAAAAAGGGAAAAGGAAGAAAGAATCTAATTAGATTAATATGAAAAACCATATATTGTAAAAAGATAAGTGAAGATTTGAAATACTTCAAATGAAAAACAACTTCGAAAACCTACCTTATCCCATAAGCCATCAGAGGCTAATATTAAGAACTCGCAGTCAGGTTTGATACTAATAATCTTTGTCTCTGGCTCAGCTATTACCCACTGTTTAAGGTGCTGATCTCCAATCCCTCTGGAGACAGCCAAGCAACCCTGAATTCTCCAAACACCATGGCATAAGTCCACATAGCCACCCTGCAATAACAAATTTCACAGAATGCATCAGTCACAGCTCAGATCAAGTTCACATCATGAATGAAAATTGTGAACAAAGGCAACGGTCATTGATTTATTGAGAAACTGCTTACCAAAGTCTCAATTCTGTTCCTTTCATCCTCCCTTGAAGGTCGGTGATCAGATGTGAGAGCTTCAGCGACACCACCTCTGCTCATAACAGCGCGACAATCACCAGCATTCGACACAACAAGGTTTCCATTACGGATCAAAGCTGTCACACAACATGTGCCACCGGTAACATCTTCCTTAAGAAACTCAGCATCTGTTTTCAAGTAACCTTCTTTAACAGCATCCTCTACCTTAGTGTTGTCTCTTCTTCTAGCAAATTCATCTATGATGTTCTTCTCCAGTTTCTGGGCTGCAAACTCTGCAGCTTTAGCACCTCCATGTCCATCAAAAACACCAAAAAATGCCTGCAATTAATCACATAAAACCATATAAGTCCCACCAACTTAAAATTCATCCAAAATCGAACTGATATTATCTATCTTTTCCACTACTTAATTGTTTCAACATCTTCTTATACTCATGGAACATAAATACTAATTAAGCAGAAATAACAAAGATGACAAATTTATTCCTTTTTCCTTTTAAGAAACTATTCTCCACCCCCACCCACTCCTCTCTGTAAAAAGACAGCTCCTTAGCTATAATTCTAACATATCCATCCAAAGGCAGAACTTTTATGCGAAATTTCCGAGTTCTAAAATTCTAAATTCATTAAATTCAACCAAAAAAGAATCCAGAAACCATAAAAATACCTGTTTGGAACCTCCTTGGAGTTTAACAGAAGCAGAGAACCTATCCTCCATAGCCTCTCTCCTCCCTCGTTTACAATAAACAGTATATCCATCTCCTTCTCGCTCCACCTCTCTCCGCACCTCACACGGCGTCGTTGGAACACCAAAACACATCGCCGTCGTCGCCACCGGTATATCTAGCCTCGCCGGCCTCTTCCTCTTCAATATCGTCGACACCGATCCCGGACCCAGACCTGCAGTCGAACCCGAACCCGAGGAAGACGATGACGTCGAAGCAGAAGAAGAAGACGAAGATAACAAAGACCCAGGCGGCGGTTTTTGAAGCCGGAGCCTGAAAGGCGAGGAAGGCGAAGAGGGAGACGGAGAAGCTGGAGACGACGACGGTTTGAGGTGAGTCAACGTCAAATTCAAAGCGTCCGGAGAGGGAGAGATGATCGAAGTTTTGTTAAAGAACAGAGACGACGACGGAGAAAACACCGGGGAGTTACTTACGGCAACCGAACACGACATCGCGTTGTTTAATCAGTTTTTCTCCTTATCCTTTTCCTTTGCTGTTTTCCAACGTTCGAATTTTGGGTTTGTTCTTGTTTGTTTGATTTCTCTTTCTTCGTGTCAGACAGGGGGAATATATATATATAAAGCCGACGGTGCTAAGGGAGGTCTTCTCTTTGCGTGTTAATGGCGGAGTGGTTATTAATTTAGAGATTTTGACCACTGACTTGACTTTGGGGCACTCCTTCCTTTTTTTTATTCTTGTGGAAAGTCATGGTTGCCCCTTACTATTATCACGCAGGGAAATTTGGGATTCTGTTCTTTTTTTAAAAAAAATATCTATCCATTGTTTAGTGGTTAAGAATACTATTAGGATTTAACAAGTCCAATAAGTTTCTTCTTCCAATTAAGATTTAAATAGTAAACAAACCCTTAAATTATTATCTTTTTTATCTTAATTTTTTTATCATATCAAAATAAATTTTTAATCAATCTTTATCTAAATTGATTCTTAATTTTAATGAAAAATTAGCAGTCATTATAATTCATGTAAACGAAATTTTTTAACCAGTTAGCACTATGATGTGGGTAACTAAAGCCATACATCATGTGAATATATAATATCAGTCATTATTAAAATTAAGGGTTTTTTTAGATACAATAAAAGAATATATCAAAATATTATATTATGCTTCAAACTTTGCTCTATTTACTTTGTTTCTTATTATTACACTATGTTTAAGTTAACAAGATATATTATATAACTAAACTTTTACGATCAAACAAAGTTCAGTTTGTCAATTTGATAACTTTTGAGTGACAATAAATAAATACAAAATCAAAGCTTTTTGAATTTAACCCATCCTTAAAATCCTTGCACTATCATACACAAAATTATTTTTTCATTATTAAGATATTAGCTATGTAAGTTTATTAAATGCATTTATATATATTTTTATAATTTTAATATATTAATTGTATTGTATTTATTTATATAATTATTATATTTATGAAATATAATTAAAATATAAAAATATAATGCCAAATCTAAGAGAAGAATTGAATAAAATGAAAGGGGGGTAAGAGAGGAATTGAATAAAAGGAAAAGGGAGGCGATGGCAAATTGGAAACGAGCAGCCGTCCAAATAAAAGTAGGAGTGGCCCATCCCATGCAAGTATACAAGGTCAAACACGTTACAGGTGTAAAACAGCACAGTGCACAAAGAGTGTAATTGACTGCACCCAGTGAAGTGATGAGCCTGACGAACCTCCCCTCCGCTTTCTTCTGGCTTCTAGTTTTCCCTTCCAGCGACGAATAAATCATTAATGTCGCTATAAAATTATATATATATATATATATATAAATATTAATAATAAAAAAAGTCCTCAGCTGCGAAGAATCACGTGGATCCCACACCCAGCGCGCGACCTTTGCAGTTTCTTTGAAGTTACCGTTGCCTAGACGCATTCCCATTTACGACCGTTGTGCAGTTGAATTATCACTGACGTCATCTCAACCCTCTAAAATTATATTTTTCCCATAAAAATCTTTTAATAAATAAATTAAACTGATAATTTTATTTAGTAAAAAAAATTATAGAATTACTTTCGCAGATTGATAAATAAATAAATAATTTAAAAATTATAAATATTTTGATAATTTTATTATGTAAAATCAACAGCTTAAACTCTCTTTAGAAACAAAAACTATCCTCGCAATGTTAAATATTAATTGTAAGATAATGTTTCATAAGGGGCTAATTGAAATCAATTAAAATTAGAAGAGGTATGAGTGAAATTTATCATTTTTTTTTAATTTTGGTTGTTTTTGGGACTGTTGACTTCTAGAAATGAAACCCTGTCAAGAAAAGCATGCACAAAGAAATACTAGTAAAATGAATGGTTTTTGTTCTTCTTCTTCTTCTTCTTATTTCTATTCAAGGACTTGACTAAGGGACGGGTTCAATAATGCTTCCATTGATGCTTTCTGTTGATCAGATCTTTTCCACTATTTGATTTGAACTTTCCACGTCAATAATGTTCTTCTATCTATACTTTACTTGATCTAATTCTTCATTACTACTAAGGAGTATTTCATTAAAGTTTAATATTAAAAAACAATAGTACAATCTTTTATTAACAATAAATAAATTGGCAAGAAAATTATTCAAAATAATAAAATCATATTGTTATTTTTAATTTTTTTTTATAAATAGAATAATCTTTTATTGCAAATGAATAAACTGGCCAGAAAATTTTTCCAAGGGAGAAAATAAAATATTATTTAATAATTATTTATTAATTGTGGCCCAAAGGGCCGCAAATAAACAAAATTTTGGGCTCTCTCCCATTACAAATTAGGCCCAAAATTTTTGAAGTCCAGCTTGGGCTTTTTCAGGCTTCAATTTGAACCAATTGAGTTACAGCTTGAGCCTGTTGGGCTCTAGACGCATTCAAGTCCGATTTCAATGTCCGGTGTCCACTGCATCCTTTTAATACCCCTTTAGTTTCTTTTTCTAACGAAAATATTTGAATTTCTTTTTTCTCTTGATTTTTTTATTCTATTCAATTTTCGTTAATATTTAAAACAAAGATTTTAATTTTGATATATTTTTTTCTTGGGGAAAGGTTAACTTATATTCTTATTGAAGGTAGCAAACAAAGTCCCATTACATCTGATATAGCTTCAATATCAATTGGAGAATCACTAAACTAATTTGTCAACATTCCAAAAATAAATTAAAATTATAATATAAATACTAAATACTTTATAATAAGAAATAAATTTGTCAAAATACTTTAATAGTCTCCATAATTATATAGTTTCATCAATTTAGTCTTTATAGTCATAATTGAAATAATTTAATCTTTTGATTTTTGAAATTGAAGCAATTTATTGGTGACATCAATATTGATATGGCAAATTTATTGACAAACTTGTTGACACCAACACATAATAATACAGATATTTATAATTATATTTAAATTTATTAATCATAAATGCAATCATTAATTTAAAAAATTTCAATTTAAAAATTTGTAACTTGAAATATTAGATAAAATAAAACCATAAAAATAAACAATAAATTAAAATATTAGAGCAACTCATATTTATAAGTGTAATAAAAAATCTGTCATGTTCAAATTAAGTAAATTAAAATAAAAAATTATTTTTTATAATCATTGTTAACTTTATATTTTTTTTCAAAAAATAAAAATAAAAACACTATTCTCAAAAAATTAATAAAAAATTTTAAAAAAATAAAAATTGAAATCCAAAAATATAAATCTTTCATCTATCTACGTTACACCACCACATTAATATGTCCTTGCCATTGCCACATCACCCCATCAATTCCACATGCCATTACCAAGTGTGTGCAATCACATCATCACCTTAACTATAAAATTAGACAATAACACTAAATTATTTTCATTCTCAAAATCCAAAAATTAAATTATTTAAAGTTTAAATATAAAAACTAAGTTGACAAAAATATAAACATACGAACTTTTTGAATAATTTGAGAAAGTAAATTTATATGTTAAGAAAAATGAACAACTAAGTTATTAACTTGGAAAAAATTAAGGTTAAAATAAATTAAATAAATAAGAAAGAATTTAGTTATAGTTCTCCAACGTCCAAATGCTACATAATCGAAGCACTGGATAGCGAGGAGAACGATCGATTTAGGCTCCTTTGTTAAAAAAAAAAACTTAAAAGTAATTATTAAAATTAAGTTTTAAGCTTAAGACAAAGAAGCCATCGATTGAAAATCCCAACAATCCAAGAAAAAAAGAAAGAAAATTGGAGTGTTTATTTCGTAGAACTCAGTCCCTTAGATGTTCGTAAAGAGCTGCGATCATGTTCGCAATTCATTACAGGTCTGTTATAGCTCATCAACGTTCTTGAACAAAAACAAACACTCCACGAAATTAAATTTAATAAAAATTTTTCTTTTGAAAATGTAGTTGCCCAAGTGTTCTCCCGGAAAATTACAGAGATTTGAGGGAGAGATATGGTAAAAAAGCAACACGATGACTTTCGCTTCAAGGGAACGAGTCACATGGGAACGGAGATTGAATCCACACTGACCAGATAGCGAAGCCTTTCGAAATTTTGAACACCAGATTTAGAACCCTAGCTTCGAAATCTATAAACAGGAGGATGAGACGCTAATGAAAACCCTAGCCGAGGAAGATGTCGAGAGGTGTCGGTTATATAGAAGAAGGGTTGGACAGATTTGACGGTTGATATGAGTGTTTTATCCGATGGACGACTCAGATTTTATGCCTTAATTTTACCCTAATTTTTTCTCTGGGCTGGGTCGGTGAGATTCCAAAACCTAACCCCATCTTTATAGCTTTCTGATTGGGCCTTTAAATTGAGTCCTAAGTGGGCTTGAAAGCCCATACTTTTTTTGAGCTCATTTATTATTTTCTTTGGGTCCATTTTATCTTTTTTCGTTTTGCTCTTAAAATTTTAAAAATCAAATTAATCAAACTTTTATATACAATAATCAATCAAATTATACCTTAAAATTGAGAATAACTAAACCCCGACTTATTTTGATGGATTTAGTCAATTTTAACTATTAATAATATATTTAAAAAACTTTATATAATGTTTCTAATAATTATTTTAAATATCTTTAATTTAATCCTATATATTTTATATATTAATAATAATAAAGTTGATTAAAATAACAGAACAAACAATCTTTCTTTATCAATTAATTTTAAAATTGAAATAACCGAATTCAATGGATTTCAATTGAAACCAATTAATACTCACCTCTCGTTCTCAAAAGGACCTATACCAAACCTTTATTTAGTAGATAGAATGATAAATACGAATATGAATATCTCAAGAAGATAAACCCTAATAAATTTTCAAAATATCTCAACTTACCCAAAAATGCCCTGCCCTTTTTGACCTTTTTTTTTTTTGTTTGTTTGCATTTAGTGGTACAAGTTCCCTTCCAAGTTTATCGCTTTATATCCCTTCAAACCCCACCTGGATGCTTCTCTGACCAATCACAATCTGCCACGTTCATCTCCAGCACAGAAACCGCGACCGGAAAGCACCTATTTTCCTGGGGTTTCCTTCTTTTTTAGACAATTAACTTTTGTTTGTGTGTGGGTCCCAATCCTAGTCAGCATATGCTCAGATGCTAATCCGCTTCTCCTTTGCATGTGTGTTTTAGTTTAAAACCTGAAAACAACGAGCTGTTCAAAGGCAGCCAGCTGTTTTTAACAAAATCCGACGGCACAGTTGTTGGATAACCGGATCTATTGTCTTTCCACCCTTCGCCCAGTGAGTGGTTTTCACCTCCCCATACCTTTCACATTTTTATGCATTTTATCCAAAAATTAAAATAGAAAATATATTTGCCTATTTCAGTTAAAATTCAAGAAAAATATTTTAGTAAATATATAATCACTACTTAGCTTTATTAAGTCGAATTTGGTCCACCAAATCCCTTTTGTTTATGTCTATAATCTACCAATAAAAAGTATTAAAATTATTAATATTTTCTCATAACATTTTCAACTGTATAAAAAAAAAGTTTGGATAATAATGGTTGTATTGGAGCACCTGCGCGTGAACAATACCATTTGCTATTGGCGCTTGAGATACAAAACGTCCATTTCCGACCATAAAACTTCATCCCAAAAATGCCCCTAAAAGGGTATGAGAACTCCCGCAGTTATGTACTTTCATGGTAATTTTACCCTCTCTCGGCCTTTTGCCGTTGTTTTCCCGCCAGCCGTTCTCCCATGATCTATAAAACACCATAGGAACCTCCTGTTAACTCGGAGTCACGAACCCCAACTCACTCTGTTTATCAACAGTCTGAGTCAGCTTACTACTGATTCGAAAAATCCAAAAAAGCTTTCTCTGAGTTTGTATTTATCCAAAGATCAGAGCTTTTAAAGCCGCTTTAATACCGGGTACGTTGGCAAAGAAAATTTTCCCGAGATAGAAAGACAGTTTTCTAATTATAGTAGTTAATGACTAAATGCAATCGTGATCTCAATTAGCTGTCTGATTAATTGTCTGACATTTGCCACGCTCTGCCGTGTTGCTGAGTCACCTTGCTTGAAATTCACTCATATAAATACCATTTTTTTTCTCTCCAAACGACAAAAAAGAAGTTAGGATTCTTGCTACATATTGGGTTTGACGGGAAAATTGGATTCTGCATCAGGGTTGGGTTTTCTGTTCTTTCTTTGTCTTTTGAGTTGTTTTTCTTGTTTAATCTCTGCAACTGTCGTTAACTTTCGGTTTTCTTTGGGGAGGTTCAGACTCCAGAGAATGGAAGGTGGATGTGAGACAAAGTTATCTACTGATGAATTGGAATCTGTCGAATTTGGGAATCAAAATGCTGCATTGATAGGGATTGGATTAGGGAATCATGGGTATGTCTCATTTCTTTTGCTTCTTCAAATTCAACCTCTGGTTTTGCCTTTCATCAAGTATTTTGTTTGATAGATGTTTGATGATTTGTGGGGATTTACATTTTGCTTTTTTGTGTATATGATTAGGTGCTTGCATTACAGAAGGAGATGTAAGATTAGAGCACCATGTTGCAATGAGATGTTTGATTGCAGGCATTGCCATAATGAAGCTAAGGTATGATCGAAATATGTTTTCTTTCTTTTCTTCTTCTTCTTCGCTTAAGGAAAAGTTTTGATGTGGGTTAATATTGGCTTAGCTGATCCTGTTTTTTATGGATGTTATTGGAAAATCTATGAACAGAATTCCCTGGAATGTAATCCTCTGGAGCGGCATGAAATTCCACGCCATGAAGTTGAAAAGGTTTGTCTTTTTACTTTTCCTGGTATGGCATCTAGTTTCTGATATTCCCTGTAATAATTAATTTAGATCCCATTGATGATTAAGTTTTTCTCCCTTTCCCTTTGAACTGAGGGGTTTCTTCCTGGAAAAATGGGCTTATATCCTGATAGATATGTCTGATATGTTGCATGAAGACAATAAGGAATGGAAAGTTGTAGAGCCAGAAATTTAACATTGCTCTGCTGATAGTTCACTCTGTTTCCATATCTAGAGCCAGAAATTTAAAAAAGAACCAATTCAATGAATATTTTTTGGTTGTCAAATTGAATCTTGCCTTCTATGCTTTCTTTTTCTTGCTCTTTTATCACACGCTTTTTGTGTCAAAAAGCAAGTGGTTTTTGTGATATGTGGTCCCATAGATTATCCATAAAACATTACGTAAAAGACAAAAAGCACAAGGATAAAACTCTGACTGGATAGAATCTGGACCAGTTTTTGCAAATGAATGACTATAAAGAATAAGCCAGAAAGGAGAATAAACTCCCGATTAAGATAGCTGTCCGAATCCCCTGCTTCAGTTTGTTTTAATCCTTAGTAATATTCATTAACTAAAGTAGCAGTTATTCTATGGATAATGTTTGCCTTTTTTAACTTTATGTAAAAAATATCTTTGCTTGTTGACTGATCTCAATCTCCAATAAAGTTCACAAAGCAATTCTTCAGATTCTCACGTGATTTGTCTAACCTTATTCCTTTGACAATTTCAGGTCATTTGCTCCCTATGTGACACAGAACAAGATGTAAGTCTCCTTGAACATCACATGACAATAAGACGATTTATTGTTTAAAAGCCGAAACTAAATCGGGGTTATTACATTGTTTGCCTTGCATCCTTTCAGGTTCAACAGTATTGCATCAATTGTGGAGTCTGTATGGGGAAGTACTTCTGTGCTAAATGCAAATTCTTTGACGATGATGTAAGTCTTTGTCAGTTCTTTGCTAAGTTGTAATCTTTCAAGTCTTGGGTTGCAAATTTTTTAAATGATGGCTGATGTGACGAACTGTTACATGAATTCAGGTTTCTAAAAACCAATACCACTGCAATGACTGTGGTATATGCAGGTAAAATTTTCGAGCTTATGCTCAAACCTAGGATATCTACCGAAACCCATCTTCTTGATCAGAATCACTCTTATAATTTGATAATTTCTTACCATTTCTCATTATCTCTGTTCTGACTGCTTTGCAGAATTGGAGGTGAGGAGAACTTCTTTCATTGCAACAAATGTGGTAAGTTAAAGTTGATAACTTTCAGTTGAAAACAAAACAAATGCAGTCCCTCTTTCTTTTCTTCTTTCTCCTCGTAGTGTTTCAGCCTGTCACCAAACTGACATTCTCGGGATTTTTGAAATTGCTGCTGCAGGATGTTGCTATTCGAAATTAATGAGGGATGCACATCGTTGTGTGGAGAGAGCAATGCACCACAACTGCCCTGTTTGCTTTGAGGTAAACTAATGCACCATTGCAATGATACTAAGCAAATTTGGGGTAAAAAGTTGTTTCTTAGGGATGACGACGTCTTCCATTTTTTGCAGTTTCTTTTTGATACAATGAAGGATATAACTGTCTTACCTTGTGGACACACAATGCATTTGGAATGTTTGAGAGAGATGGAGCAACATTATCGGTGAGTTCTATAAATACTGTACTCGCTTTTTATAAGATATTCATTGCTACTTTAATAAGAGAATCAGTGATGATATTTCCTAACATGTTTCATCCCCACTTGAATTTTTGTGAATTTCAGTCAGCAAGTTCTAATCTATTTCTTATTACTGCAGGTACTCTTGCCCAGTCTGCTCAAAGTCTATCTGCGATATGTCCATATTGTGGAGAGAGCTTGATCAGGAGGTACTTGCCGTGCTTGTAGAGTAGTTGTTTCTTTTTCCAAATGATAGTGTGCTTATACTTGTGCAGCTCATGCTCTGGGTCCTAACATCGTTCTCTTGAATCTTATTGCAGATTGCCTCAACCCGGATGCCTGCCATATACCAAAATAAGATGGTAAGTGTTAAGCAATGAGAACCAGGATGGCTTTTGTTAGAACAATGGCAACCAGTCTCTAACTTTTCAGTTTTGGTTCGGAAAATTAGATATGGATTCTCTGCAACGACTGCGGAGCCACTTCCCGTGTCCAGTTCCATATTGTGGCACACAAATGCCTGAATTGTGAGTCCTACAATACCAGACAGACGCGCGGAGGCCCTGCTGCTTCATTCTCATCAGTGATGGCTGAGATGGTGAGATGATCAGTGCTTTTTTTCTCTCGCTTAAGATTAGTTAAGCGTCAAAATTTAAATCCCCGAAGCGAGCAAATTTATTGTCTCAAACCACAGTTCAGTTCTTCTGTAATTTACCCCGTCTTAATAAACATGCCAAAAGAGCTAGTGGCATAAAGGACAATAATTGAGAAAGTGTTACTTTCCATTATGTTCTGTCAATGACATTGGTCTTTGTAAATACATTGTGAATGCAGATGGTACAGATCTTGCATGCATACGGAATTCAGGATGTTCTTGTTCAAAATTCAGTCATTAAATCTTATTCTGGTCCAGGAAGTTCCATGGAAGCAGGAAATCCTGGGACAGCTTTGTCCCTTCCAAACTCTTAATTTTCTCAATCTAGCAGGGATTTGCGTTTACCCACTTATGACCTTTGGACTAGGAATTTCAAACTTGGCATTGGGCAATGATTTGACAAGCACTCAGACAGTGCCACCATTAGAACAAACAGCACAGCAGGTTTTGTAGTAATACACAAAAATTGGTCGGGCATGACTTTCTTTAAGGGAGCAAGAATCTCAACTCTGAACCTTAGCCCTAAGCTACCTATATCCAAATTTTTAATATTAACCCTTTGATTCAAACCCCATGGGAGCATTGATGTCTCTTGTCCCTATTTCTTACAGAAACCTGTAAAAGAACAGAACCCTAGGCATTCTTAAAAACCTGTGTATAGTGTTATTAATGTGGACAGACATACACTTAAACCATTATACAAACAAAACTAACAGCTTTCATCACAGAGATTAAATGTCTTCCAGTCACACTGATCATTGCTTTTTTCTTTTTTTGTTATGACCATAAGATTTATATAATACCCATTCTTCCAATCTATAGCTAATGTAAATGGCTGATAAATATTAGTACAATGATTTAAATGCCTGGTTTGAATGGAGGTTCGTCTAAATGAATCATTTAATGATTCTAGTTCAAAAGCACAATAATTGGAACATAGTAGCATACGCAAATAATAATGTAACAATTATTAAAACTTTATATAAATAATGAGTATTCAATTCGATTTTCAAATTTTGAAAATCAAATTTACTAAGTTCTAAAAAAAATTAGTCGAAACACATTCAATTTTTAGAATGAATATTTTAAATATATTTTCAGAATATTGTATTTATAAATAATATTTTGCAAAAATCTATTACTTATATCAATTCTTTTAATTGACTCGATTGAAAACGTAAAACATTAAAAATTGACTCAGAATTTTTTCTAATCTTTCAGTACATAAATTGAAAATTAAAATTTAACCGAAACAATCGAATAAATTAGTTTTTAATCAATTGATATAGAAATAGAAAAACAATTGAATTAATCGAATTCATTTAATTTAAATCAATTATTTTAATTCGAACCAATTATTGGTCGTCTAAGCAAAGTTTACTGTATTTATCTATTTGGCTTTTGAGTAAACCGTAGGAATAAAGGTCGTAAACATATTATATACACCAAAGGAGCTGAACACTCAGTCCCCAAAGCCTTTCCTCCCTCTGTCCTAGCAAAAAGCAAAGAGAGAGAAAAAGTAACTACGGCTACAACATCCGAGAAGGAGGAGACAGCTTTTTCAGACAACCCATTAATGGCCAACCCACTCTCTTTTTCCTTCTGTCTCTCCCTCTTTGGTTAAACTTCGTGCACCACGTGGGATTTCGTCTTCCCACACGTGGATTTAAGAGTTTCTGGGGCAGGCCCATGCCCCCACAGTGCCCCTCCACCCTCTCCAGTCACTTTGCTCTAAACACACCCTTTTGTCGGATTTTTTAAATAAATTACCGCCTACTGTTTCTTTGACTTTTTGATTTGACTTTTTAGAGTCAAAAAGGCTTCTTCCTCCATTTGATCTATAGGGTCAACCTGAACCACATAGGATTCCAAGCTTAAGCCTAGAAATCCTGGGTCAAGTGCAAGAAAAGTTTACCTCGAGTGTCGATATACGTCAATTGCGGAATCAATGCAGTTTCTGCATGTTCTTGCAGCAGCAGCAGCAAGCAGGGAACTGTTTCTTCGGGTTAAAAAAACATAAAAGAAGAGAATGCGAAAGGGGTGATGATATTGCAACTGTAGTTACAATAAAGCACGAATCTCATATAAGAAAGCTGAAACCAAAAAATTTTACTCCGACCATCAGGAGGGGATATCTACCTTTCTCTTTTAGGCTTTTTTTTTTCTTCTTTTAGCTTTCCAGATTTACAGAATCATCACATGGACCCGCCAATCTATCTTAAAATCATTTGAAATTCAAACCAAATTTGACGACCAGAAGTTTTGCTTGTTGAAATAAGCTTTTTACTGAAAAGGATCCGAGAAGGTATCCGTTGCCTGAACCTCGAAATGCTCTGACTAGGAGCAACCGACAATGGTATCACATGGCGCCTTAGATTGGATTATAACCCGAGCTCCTGAAGCAAGCCTGTTGAGGGAAATCAAACCAAACCGTCAACCAACATGAAACAATAAATACCAGACATAAGGATAATTTTGATCATCTATCTTGAAGATGCTGGGAGGAGTCTACACTTAACTTTCTTCAATTTTGATCACCTTCTCCTCTTCTCTGAATGAATCCAACCTTTTTGATTGTTTTTTAGCTGCAATGGGCTCTGTGATTCTTCTACTGCCGCCGTTCGATATGCTACTTGAAACCAAGCGTGAGTTGTCCATCCCATCAGAGGAGTTTCTTGGCTTTTCAGAAACAGGGGATCTCATAGACTCGCTTCGTGGTTGCTTGCTTAGTGAAGCCTTGATAGAACGGGGGATGCATTTTGATCGTCCCAAATTCAACTCTTCTTTTTCTTCAGCCGAATCCAGCTGCTTACAAGTCCTGCAATTCAAATTAGTTTCATACATTTAGCATAAGCTACAAAAGAAATGTAGCTGAAGCTACATTATATTATTTGATAAGAAAAAAAACAGCACATTTCAATTGAAAAGAAGCTTAAGACCAATCGGTCTATGAGCCCTGATAAGCTGATACAGTCATCATTATGACTTCCACAGAAAGACGCCTTCAATGTTAAATAATATGCAACTATCACCTAGTAGATTCATTATGCTCTCAAATACCACACATTGATGATTACAGACATACATAAAGGAAGATCTTTATATGTGAGGCATCCTGTATGAATCAGAAAGAAGCATATTGTGCCATAAGGAATCTCTTCACGTGACTTAAAGAACAAAAGAACAAGTTCAAAGGTAATGCATGGGCTTTGCCACATTTAATTATACAAGAGCCAATTGCTTTTTCCATAAACTCTTTGACGTATTTTACCCTTCTTCCCTCTAATCCAATTCTTTTTAAAATGAATCAGAAAAAGGAATCATGGCCCATGAATCTGCATTCTAGACTGTCAGGATATAGAAGACCAAACTGAAGCAATCAGGTTGAATCTGACTGTGCTAAGCTCTTAGTTAATATGAACTATGTTCCTATCCCTACTCTAAGGCTAGTGAGGTCACAAGGGTGACCCATTCTGAGCACATTTAGAATTCTTTGCTATGCAACTAAGTGAAAAGAGTGTGATCGGCACATTTGGCCATTCAAATGCTCTGCTATATAGTATCAAGACAGTTCATTTGTTTAATGCCAATAGTAGGCAAAGAATCCAATAAGAAAAGATTCAGAAACAAACTTACCTGTCAGCATTGTATGAAGAAGAACGTTTCAAAGTTGTATGTCCATCTCCGTCTTCCTTGAGCATTTTTGTCTCAATCAAGCTACCACTGAAATATTCTTTATCTTCCAATCTCAGGCCCATCAACCTTGGATTCTCTGATAAGCAATCTAGCTCTCCCAACATGATTGAAGTGGGGAATAATGGTGAAGAAAATTTTGAATGTGAAAACCTTGGTCTGTATGTTGGAACAAGGCCAAAACTATGGTCTTTCACAGATATCGACCCACATGAGATCAATTGCATCAACATGCTTGTTGCCTTGAGCCTTGCATTGGGTGGCATTCGAATCTCTTCCTCTTCAAGAATCCTAAAACTATTGATTTTATTCACATCAGCTCGGATTAGAGATTCCAAAGTTTCAGTTTTCCCACCTGAAGATGATGCACTAGAAGTGGACGGTGGAGGAGAGACTGAATTTCCGCATATATCAGAATTATCTTTCACACAAGGGTTGGAGACTGGGTTTTGAAAATTGGTATTGCATTCAGGTTCTAACAACCCATCATCAGTTGAAACACCCCTTGTACAAGTTTCCCGTGTCTTAGGTCTGCTTGTGTTTTCCTCAGTCTGCGTTGAAGCATCTGCTAACCCGTCACTCTTATAAACCTTATACTCAGTCAGACTAAGAGAACAACCCCAGGAAGAATTCTTTCCATATCTAGACTCCGGTGACGCACCAGAGGAGCCAGGAGTTGGACGATTAACTGGAGAAGACAGTTCATCATCCTGAGAATGCTTTGTTCTCTTCCCATTCAAGCTGGAAGAAGATGAAGAATCGTCTTGGCTTCTAGAAGAAGATGGTGGTTCAGGTAATTGCTTCAGATTTTGCAGTCTAATGATATTCCCAACAGGACTCAAACGATCTGAACACAAAAGAATTCACTATAATTAAAAGACTAGCCTTATATTCTCTTTTTCTCCCTTACGAAATCGATTAAAAATATATATAAGTGATATTAACCTGAGCTAGACTCTTCGAATAATTCGGAACCTTTGAGAACGTATTCATTTCCATGGGCGGGAAGAATTAAATCATCTTCAGAGAGATCATGCCATACAAATCCATTCCTATAGCTTCTGCAATTATTAATACTCCGAAAATAAGTAACCAAAAACAGAAATAAAATAAATAAGGTAATTATTTCATATTTTACCTCTTGCAAGACCAAGAATACAAGGAAGCCATTCCTCTGCCTCTAAGAATATTAAGCCTCTCAATCACATCTACACAACACAAAAGTTTCTTAAATAATCAAGTAAGAAAAAAAATTTTAAATAAATTAATGAAATTTTTTTTGAAAAGGTTTAATTACCTCTCAAATAGAGACCATCGGGGGAAGACAGAGGAACTTCGATGAAATGAGGATGTTCAAGCTGGCGATTTCTACAGAGATAATAAACAACAGGAACTTTCCGGTTTTGCTGATAATACTTCGGCGATTTCTCAGTCCAAATTTTAGCTCTCTCCGGACTCACTTGCCTATATTTCTTCATTCTTGTCTCCATTTCCGATCCAAACATCGCTTCAAAAACCCTAACGAAACAGCTTTTAAACCTCTAGTTTAATCATAAAAAACATGGAATTTCGGTTGTTTGGTTTAAGTAATTCAGATCTGTGAAAACGAAGCTTCCAAAGAAACAAACAGTTTGTAACTGAAAAAAGAAGAAAGAAAGAAAAATAAAGTGAGTTACGGAGAGAGGAAGGAAAGGCTAGTTGGTTAGTGTTTAAAATGAGGAGGAAAACGACGGAAGAGTGAGCTGGAATTTAATGCCAAAATTTGTTAGTTTGGTTGATAGTGATTGGGGGGAGAGAAAATGAAAAAGGCCGGGGAGAAAAAAAGAAGGAAAGGGGAACTCCGGGGCGTGCAGCGAGGGACCGAGCTTTCTTCGTTTATTTTGTGCTTCCTGCTGCTGCTTCCTTTCGAGTGTCTTGGCCGATTCGATGGGACTTGACTCGCAGTTCTTGCGTGAGAGACTCTTTACACTTTTCTTTTGGTTTTTTTCTCGTAGCTTTTGGCCTGGCCTGGATTTGGCTTTTTCCCGGCTTTTCTTTTTTAACTTACTTCATACTTTATTTTTTTCCAAATTTTGTATGAAAATTAAGAAAAAATTATAATATAAATGTCCAAAGCATTAATATATAGGCAAATATATTTATATGCAAACAATTAAGAATATTTTATTTTTAAAATATTTAAAAAAATTAACAAAATAAAGTACAAGGAATGTTTGGCTTTTTCACTGTTTTTATTTTACTTGCTTCATTCTTTTTTATATTTTATGAAAAATAAGATAACAATTCTAATTTCAATATATTTTTATATTAAACTTTAAGATTTTTCATAATATAAACGTTTAATACTTTTTAATATGAACAATAAGTTTCTAATATTTAAAAAAATAAAAAATATATATTTTTAAAATAATTCGTTTTAAGACATTTTAAAACAGAAAAGATGGACCAAAAAATGAACAAAAATTATATTTCTTTTTCTTTTTATTACTTTTCGTTGTTCGAATTCAACTGTGATGGAAGAAAGATGAGATTAGACGCAAGATTGGTGATTTAATCACGTTTAGGTCAATTAAACACGTTGGTTTAGAAGAATACACGTCAATAAAACACCCATTTTTTAACTTTATTGACTTTGAAATGAATCATGATGACTTTACAGTCCTTCAATCAAATCAAATTTGCTAAATAGGGGAAAAAAGAGTGGGAATCCCAACACACCCAAGCGATGAAATGACATGTCTGATTTTTTAGCTTTAGACTTTTTATTTTTAATGTAGTAATAGTGGAAATTACTGGTGGTTAATCTTTTCAACATAATAAAAACAAAAAATTTTATTCAAATTAAAGAATTTTATTTATAAAGTAAAATTTAAATTATATAATTTTTATTTTTTTTTCTATCTGACTCGTGGGATAACACTTATGATAGTAATTTAAGTTACTCGATTATTTGATAAAAGAAGTTCAATCGAGATTTTTCATTAACATTCAAACCATAATTAGTCAAAGCAATACAAAAAATAAATTCACTTTCTGTCCATTATTAGATTAAGATTTTTACATTATTTAAAATGTGATCACTTCTCGTTTTTATGAAAATTTCTTCATAGAAAGCCCAAAATCAAATACTAAATTCGTTTTACATTAATCTTTAAAATATTAAAAAAAGGTAAATTTGATTTGAATAAAATGATTTCGAATCCATTTGAAATACCTTAACCCCTAAAAAAATGATAGGCAAATTATGATCAAAATAAATTAAGTACTATGCTAAGCATTATTATTACATCCACTAGTGTGAAATATGAAATGATGGTAATTTCATGTACTACTAGAAGTAATTATTATTGGAGCAATCATTTAGAATCATGAATTCTTTTTGTGGGCACGGCATAGAACGAATCATTCATGTCTGGAGGCTCACACTGATCCCATCAACAGGTTCATTCATTAAACCTTGAATTTTCTCTTTGGAGTAATTTGTTTCCCTTTATGATTATGGTAGTGTTAGGGCGCGAGGACGAGCAGGTTGGCCACTTGGGAGGCTTAAATGCACGAGACCACGACGTGACATTTACAGTTCCTTCCTAGACAGGGTACATATGTCATACCATGGTTTGAATTTTAAATTTTTATATAAAATTATCTTCAATTAAAAAAATATTTAAAGACTCAAAAAGTAATCCAAAATTCAATTAAGGATTTGAGAAATTTAATTCCCTCATCTTGGGTTTTAATTTAATATAAAAATTCGATTGCGAAATGATTATTTCTTGTTCCGCAACTTGTGTAAATACTATTCATTTAATCTATTTTTAAAAAATTTTCTTTGATATTTATAGATATAAAGTTAAATATTTTGAATTTGATGTATTTTATATTAAGATTTGATTTGTTTTTTTATAATATGAACATTAATATGTTTTTTTAATATGAAAAATGAACAAAATTTATTAAAATAAGTTTTAAATTTATACTCGTGTAAGGCGAAAAACATATGCTACCATATTCTTTTTATAACCATACCAAAGCACATGTAATTTGGTGGTACATAACAAAACGGACAAGAGGTTTTTGCTGATTACAAGCATTTAAAAAATCAACTTGGTTTTTTACTTTTTCTTAGTTTCTTAATTTAGAAATTTGAAGAATTTATTATTGCTTTGTTATGATCATTAACTAAGCAATTTATTTCTATGACCATTTCCGGTAAGGTAGAATATCCAGCAAATCAATTTGTTAAGAATGTGATGAGTTTTGTTTCTAGCTCATGTTATTTAATTGTGCAACGTTTTTATCGTATTGGTTCTTAAAATTTTTTATTCGTAAAAGAGAGAGACCATTGCATTAGTCAAAGTTTATCTCGAATTTTATATCGTTCATGGATCTCACGTCAATAAAAATTTGAATTTGTTTTGACACTATTTGTCAATAATTCACATTTTTCAATTTAAAAAATATGTATGTTAGGTGGAAGAAAATAGATGTTTATATAATCAATACCAACCTCTAATGTAGAATCCATGACACCTCTAATAGGTTTGGTTGGTTTCATTTTTAAAAAATTAAAATTAATTGAAATTTTATAAAAATTTATTAAAATAAAATGAATTATACTAAAAAATAATAAGTAATCGAAATTGATTTATCTTGATTGACTCGATCAATTATTTCATTAGGAATAGAGATCATTTTTGAATTATAATTTGACTCAAATATAAATTTTAAATACCAAAAATCAATAGTCACATGTCTTTGCCACGTTCGGTTTAGTTGTTATTTGATCTTTATCTCTTCCATTTAAGACATTGGCATCTCTCTGGTAAGGTTCATAAATAGCCGTATTCCACTTGCACATACAATGCACGCTCACATTGCTATTAAGATAGTGACAAATATCTAGTTCAAAATTTTCAACTATATGAATGGAATTTTTTTTAAAATTAAATTGCAAAGCATCTAAATTATTTTTCTTTAAGTTTTTAAAATATTAATAAATTGATAAAATATAATAATTTTAGACTAATACGTATGATCAAAAACTTAATTTGCCTCAAAATATCAAGACACTACTAAACTGTAACATCGTCAAAATTAAAGATAAAATTGTGACACCATTATAAATTATTTTTAAGTTCACTTTTAATAGAAATGTATGAATTAAATTTACTAAAATTGAGATAAAGAGATTAAAATTGTTAAATTGAACTGTTAAAAAAATGATTAAGTAAATAAATAATACATTTGGACTTTATATAATAATAATAACAATAGTAATAATAATAATAATAATAATAATAATAATAATAATAAGCGACGCTGAAGTGTTTGTATGCGGGCTGGCTTATGGACATGGGCCTGAGCCCATCGTCGCTGATTAGGAAAATGAAAAGAGAAACAAGGGGCGGGGGTTTCCGACAAAAGCTCACTCCAGTTCCCGCCATTTCTGTACTGGTATCTTTCAATCTTTCGCGACGCTCGTTCTTGGTCGCTGATGCTTTTTTTTTGTTTTTGGTAAGTCTTATTTGAATGCTGACGTTTCGTCCATGCCTTCTGCTTCGCCATACTTGTCTTTCTCGACGTCTCAACCTTCTCTTTCCTCCATCTTCCTCCCATTTCCTGCCCTCTAAACCCTCTTTCTTTTGCCCTCAACCCCTCTCTCTTTCCTCTTTAGACCCTTACTCAAACATGTCTTCGCGTCCCTCCGCCTTCGATGCTCTCATGTCCAACGCTCGCCGTTTGGCGGCGAAGAAAAACAGTTCCTCTTCTTCACCCACCAAGAAACGCAAATCCCTCGATTCATCGCCATCGAAGACCCAAAACCCTAAACCAACCAAAGCCCAGGATTCCACGGAGGTCAAGCCCGACCAAGAAAGCGATATTAATGGAATTGACAAGCCCATTGATGATTCCCCAAAACCCAATGTAGATGAGACGCAGAAACCTACTGATTCGAAGAAAATGAAGGTGGTGAGTGTGTCGGAGAGAAATGCGGAATTGAAGGGGAAAATTGGGTCACTGAAGAAGAAGCCGGCGGATTTTGACCCGAAAATGGTGGCGTGTTGGGAGAAAGGAGAGAGGGTGCCGTTTTTGTTTCTTTCTTTGGCGTTTGATTTGATATCCAACGAGACGGGTCGGATTGTGATAACGGATATTGTTTGTAATATGTTGAGGACTGTTATTGATACGACACCGGATGATTTGGTGGCGGCGGTCTACTTGGCAGCAAATAAGGTTGCTCCGGCGCATGAGGGATTAGAGCTGGGAATTGGGGATGCCTCGATTATCAAGGCCCTCGCGGAGGCCTGTGGGAGGACTGAATCACAGGTTAAGAGTCAGTACAAGGTATAATTTATGTTTCTGTTTAATTTTGGGCTTGACTAAAACTTCTTAACAAATAATTTTTGGCATATAACTTCATTCATTTACATTTTGACAGGATAAGGGAGACTTGGGTCTTGTTGCACAAGCTAGCCGTTCATCTCAATCGATGATGCGCAAGCCTGATCCATTAACTGTTGTCAAAGTGTTTGACACCTTTCATCTAATTGCTAAGGTTTACCATCTTCTTTCACAGATTGAAATGCATGATGTCTTAATTTGATCTTCACTTCCATGATTGAAATTGCTATTTAGTTGCTTCGCAATTGATGAATGCTGCATGTGCCCATCTTCATTGAATGTGGATTCATTTTGACATAAGTGAGGTCATCTTTACCCTGTTTGTGCTGACATAGGTTTCCACCTGGTATATACAGTACATGGATAAGTAAGGGAAACTATTCCCAATATTACTATTGTTTTGCATTTATTATTCTTGGTCATTGTGCTATGCAGTCTGGCCAAATAGGTGGGAAGAGAATGCCTTAGTTATAAGGTATTTTTTGGTGAATGCTATATGCTTAATGTTGTTAATTTGCCCCTTTTTTTTGTTCAACT